TTCTGTATAACAGTCCTGGCTGTCCTAGAACTCACTTTGTAGAGCAAGTTGGCCTCAAACTCACAAAAATCTACCTGCCTCTGCCTCCCTGGTGCTGGAATTAAAGGCATACACCACCAAACCCAGCTACTGGACTGAGTTTTTGGAATGGACTTTTGACATCATGATGTTGAACATTCCTTTTTGTATCTCTATAATTCTGACTGATGTTTATATAATACTATATGTTGATTTTATTTAAATGTATATTTAAAGATTTTTTTTAACCAAGATTGCACTTGAATAATAAAAAGTCAAATACTGCTGTAAAGCTATAAATGAAGCACAGGTGAAAGGGCCTCCAATGTAAATCTCTTTCAACGTCTTTCTTTAGCTATTCATTCATAACTCAAAGTGTACTAACGTTGCTGTTTTCATTATTCCACTATAGATAATCCTGTATTTCTACCTTTTAAGAAAAATTGGGTTTTGCTTCTGCACATCACTTCTGCATATTTTTCTAATTGAACTTATTATTGCTAGCAAATCATTATTCATTTCAATAGGATTGTAAAAATATTGCTAAGTGCAATGATATTGTTTAGTATTGTTTAACTTCTCAATTATTCATGAGCTCTCCAACATGACTATAGAAGTCTTCTCATTATGAACAAACATATCAGGGAATTTATTGGGCCTCTCTCTGTTTCTCTTTTTTTTATTGTGGAGACATTCCTCCTGAACTATGGTCTTCTTGCTCCTGTCTGAACTGTATTTTAGGTATTCTTCAACTCTTCTCTCAATACCATCCTATATTTCCCTATTATCTGTCCTCTGTGCTGAGTTTTTTGTTTGTGTCCTTAGCCTTATACTACTGCTTTTGTTGTTGTTGTTGTTCCTCATTTTAATAGATATATGATCTGGTAAATTCCTAAGGAAAAGTTCTTAATAGTAATATTTTAAAAAAACTTGTAAATATCATAGCATCTTTAATTTACTCTCTGACTTTATTCAATTTGACTAATATAGAACTCAAGGAGGCTGGTAATCATTTCACTATGACATACATCTGATGACAGTGGAGGGTTCTATAAAATCTCTTTTAATTGATAAGAAAAATGTTCCTCCACAAAAGTAGTTAGATTGCAAGAGAAAATAAAAATGATGTGGAATTTCCCTCTGTATGCTGTGAATACCATTGGTTAATGAAGAAGTTGCTTTGTGCCTGTGATAGGGTAGAGCAGAGCCAGGTGGTGAAAACTAAACTGAATGTTGAAAGAAAGAAGGCAGAGTCAGAGAGAAGCCATGTAGCCTTGCCAGAGACAGAATCTGGAAATTTACCTGGTAAGCCACAACCACATGGCAATACACAGATTAATAGAAATGGGTTAAATTAAGATGTAAGAGTTATCCAATAAGAAACTAGAGCTAATGGGCCAAGCAGTGATTTAATTAATACAGTTTCTGTGTGGTTATTTCGGTTCTGGGCAACTGGGAACAGAACAAGCAGCCTCTTACAACAAATTGGTGCTCCAATGTGTGCTAGGTAAATCTACATAGAACCCAGGAGGGCTTGAAAAAAATCTAGACATTAAAAAACAAAGTTTAACTGTATTTTTTTTTTTGGATTGGCTTTGCTTGCTGGCAGCATGCAGCAGCTCCTTTAAGAAAAGTCTTCCCGATTCAGCAGAAGTAGTAAAAAACAAACAAACGAAATAAAACTGCATGGTTTCAAAATGGTGGCTTCCTGGTCCATGCTGCCAGAACAAACTCTGGCTCTTTTTTGGGGCTGATGCCAAGCACCTACTTTGGGTCTAGAAGCTTATGTGCCCACTCAGGGTCGAGAGAAAAGTAGCTGAGACCATACACAGGACTCAGCACTCCCTACCTGAGCAGGCAGTGGGATCAGTCTGCTAGGTGTGCATATGCAAAAAAAACCATCGTGGATTCCCACTGCCATACACAGAGATATTTCCAGGCCACGCAGTGAGCTACTGACAGATATGGCTTTTTGCTCAGATGAAAAGGGTTTATATGCTGCATGGTGCTACCCAGTGTTGAGGTGCTGAGGATGACTCCCACCTGGCAGTCATAGAACCTGCAGTGGACTACCTTCACCATATTTAAAGCCTGAGAAAGGCGGAGCCAGCACCCAGGGCCACTGAGACCAAGCGCTTAGCATTTTAAAAAGTCATCCTGGTTAGAAAAGGATTACAGATATGCAATAAGTACAGATTCAGACATAAAAGGCCTCTAAATGAGACACAGCATGTTTTTAAAATGTACATAGGCTTGGAGAGACAAAAAAAGAATAGACAGCTATAATAAAAAAGTGTTCGTTGTAGAGAGGCCGCTTGTTCTTTCCAGCTGTCCAGCTAGCTTAGACCCGAAATAATCACACAGAAACTAGTTTAGTTAAATCACATCTTGGCCCTTTAGCTCTAGCTTCTTATTGGCTAACTCTTATACCAATTTAACCCATTTCTATTTATCTGTATATCACCATGTGGCAGTGGATTACTGGCCAAGTTTTGGCATGCCTGACTCTGGTGGCAACTCCATGGAGTCCCTCTGACTCCGCTTTTCTTTCGTCCAGCATTCAGTAACTATAATTCTTACTTGATACCTGTTTTGTTATATATAATTTTACTATGTTAAAGTTAAAATCTTCCTTTTTATTTAGACAGATAAGGGGAAGTGATGTGGAATTCCCCTCTGTATGCTGTGAATATCATTGTTAATAAAGAAGCTGTTTGGGGCCTGTAATAGGGTAGAGCAGAGCTAGGTGGGGAAAACTAAACTGAATGCTGGGAGAAAGAGGGCAGAGTGAGAGAGAAGTCATGTAGCCTCACTGGAGACAGACGCCAGAACTTTGCCCGGTAAGCTACAGCCACATGGCAATACACAGATTAATAGAAATGGGTTAAATTAAGATGTAAGAGTTAGCTAGTAAGAAGCTACAGCTTATAGGTCAAGCAGTGATTTAATTAATAGAGTTTCTGTGTGGTTATTTTGGTTCTGGGCAGCCAGGAATAGAACAAGCAGCCTCCTACAACATAGAAAAGCTGCTGAGGGTTGACACTGACGAGAAAAAGGTAGAGGGAAGAGGACACTGTGAGAACGAGTGGGACGAGTAGACTACAGAAAGTTATGTGGGTCAGCAGGAATTTTTTGCAGCCTTATTCATTCTGTGAAGCTTTGGGTAGAGTGGGTACAAAGAGTAAACATATAGTTTAATTTAATCAGAGCAATGATTTTCTTAAGCAAAACTCAAAGACAAAAGAGGGACAAGAAATTAAGCATGGAAAAAATCTATCTTCTAAGTCCTGTAATTTCTTAGCAGTCACTTTGATGTAATAAACTTTTCTTCGTGATGCTAGACAATCTGTGAGGTTTTTTTAAAGTTTTATTCATTCTAAACACTTTGAATATTTTCCCCCATTTATTCTAAACATTAAGTTTCTCACAAGTGTAAAAGTTATTGAGTATAGCAGGATCTGTGGATGCTAAAAGATTTTCCACATTGTTCGTTATACATATAAAGCCTGTCTCCAGAGTGAATTCTTTAGAACATCATGGCAACAAGAACTGCTGATGGCTTTGAACAATACTTAAATTAGTATATGCATTAAAATTCTTTCCAGTGTAATTTTGTGCATGAGGGTTACAGAAACTGGATGTGCTGGAGATTTTCCCACATTACAGATACTGTGTGAGATCTCTCTACTTGTTAAAATGACAAAAACAAAGAAATGGTTTATATACAATGTTTACATACAAAAGGTTTCTATCCAGTGTGAATGTTTCTACTCTTATACCAAGTGAATCTTGGTATAAGACTTTCTGACAATAGTTACACGCATTAGGCTACTGACTAGTATGAAGTGTTTCAGATCTGTTATGATCACAAGAGCAGCTGAAGGCTTTTCCACAATTCTTATGTGTATAAGGCTTTACTCTCAAGTGAACAATTTTATGCTTGTTAAAGTCAATAGAATGAACAGTTTCCACATCTTTTACACACAAAGGGGTTTTCTCCAATGTGATTTTTTTCATGCAAATTAGGACAAGTTGAAATGTTGAAAGTTTTCCTGTAATGCTTACATGCAAAAGCCTTCTCTCCAGTTTGAACTCTTTCATGAATGTTCAGCTGACATTGTGGAGTTTTCCACAATGTGTACATGCGTAACACTTATCTTCAGTATGATCTCTTTCATGAACCTTACGATAGAAATTGGTGAAGTGTTTTACATAATGCTTACATGAATAAGGCTACAATAAAGTGTGACTTCATTCATGTTAGTTATGACTACTGAGATCACTGAAGGCTTTTCCAAGATGTCTACATACTCAAGATCTTTCTCCCGTGTGATTCTTTTCACGAATGTTCAGGTGATTGGAGGAGGTAAAGACTTTTTCACAATGCTTAAATGTACAAGAATTCTCTTTAATATGAACTCTTTTAATGAGTCTTACAGGAACTGAAATTATTGAAGCCTTTTTTTTTACAGTGCCTACATGAATAAGGTTTCACTGCAGTGTGACTCCTTCCGTGTCTGTTACAATTACTGGAGTTGCTGAGTGATTTTCCACAATGCTTACATACATAAGGTTTTTTTCCAGTGTGAATTCATGGATGTTCAGATGATGACACCAGAAAAAGGTTTTCCCACAATGCTTGCATGTATAAATCTTCTGCTTCTCTGTAGTGTGGTTCCTTTCATGTCTGTTACACCTATGGGGGTTGTTGAAGGCTTTCCACAATGCTCATGCATAAGGTTTTTCTGTAGTGTGGCTCTTTTCATGTCTGTTACGGTTACTGGGGTGCTTGAAAGCTTTTCCACAATGTTTACATGCATAAGGCTTTTTTCCAGTATGAATTATTTTATGGATATTCAGATGCGTGGGACAGAAAAAGGCTTTTCCACAATGCTTGCATGTGTAATGCCTCTCTGCCATGTGCATTCTTTCATGAATGCTACAAGCACTGGACGTGGTGAAGGCTTTTCCACAATGCTTACATGCATAAGGTTTCTCTCCAGTGAGAATTCTTTCATGAATGTTTCGATGAGAAGAACGGTGAAGTTTTTTCCACAGTGCTTACACGCATAAGGTTTCTCTGCAGTATGGCTCCTCTCATGTCTGTTACGACTACTGGGGTGGTTGAAGGCTATTCCACAATGCTTACATGCATAAGGCTTTTCTCCAGTGTGAATTATTTCATGGATATTCAGATGACTGGAACAAAAAAAAAAGGCTTTTCCACAATGCTTGCATGTATAAGGTTTCTCTGCAGTATGGCTCCTTTCATGTCTGTTATGACTACTGGGATTGTTGAAGGCTTTTCCGCAATGCTTACATGCATAAGCTTTCTCTCCAGTGTGAATTCTTTCGTGAATGTTTCGATAAGAAGAACGGGTGAAGTTTTTCCCACAGTGTTTGCAGACATAAGGCTTTTGTCCAATGTAACTGCTTTCATGACTGTTATGGTGACTGAATTGGGTGAAGACTTTTCCAAAATGTATATAAGCATATGGCTTCTCTCCTTTGTGAGTTACTTTTTGTTTCTCAAAACATGTTGCATATTTAAATATTTGGCCACACTGCCTACAAATGTACCTTGTCTCTTCAACATGACTTTTTTCATGGTTGGTAATGTTACTGGAATCAATGAAGGATTCTTTACAGAGACTACATACAAATTGTTTCACTTCTTTATTGGTTCCTTCATCATTCTGGCCATATGTGTATCTCATTAAGACATTCTCATTGAGTTTATATCCAGTGTGAGTTCTCTCCTGAGGCTGATCAAAACAGAGACTCCTACAGGCTTCATTACATTGTTGATTTTTACAGGGTTTCTCTTTAGAAGTTTCTAGTACTTGAAGTGATTCAGAATAACTGATATTTTTCCAATGTTTCTGATGTGTAAAAGCTTTTACCACAGCTTCCTTATACAGCGGTGGTTTCTCTCTAGTTTTTTCTCTGAGATACCCATGTAAGGATAAATGACCAATACTGTTTCTTACATGCAATGGAGTTTCATGAGTCCTTACCCTGGAAGGCATGTCTTTATTGATCATACTCTCTGGAATAGGTTGCTGGTTTTTATCACACTCAGTATGACATTCATATCCATGGTCTTTCTCAATTGACTGAATTCCCATATTCCTGCTGAGATCTTTAAAGTCCTCTTCAACGTTTTCTTCTAATGCTTTTTCTATGGAGACCAGGTTCAAAAATGTTTCCTTCATCACATCTCTGTAGAGCTTCTTTTGACTAGAATCCAACACAGCCCATTCTTCTTAGGTAAAATTCACTGCCACATCCTCAAAGTTTACTGGCTCCATTTCATATTTCTGATGTGTCTCAGTAGCCTCCCAAGAGGCCTGCAGTCAGCAGAACACACAGACGCCTAAAACAAGTCCTCACCAATCTGTGAGTTTTTTAAAAGTGGAATTTCATTTTGGTTTATTTATTTCAAAATTTATACCCTATGCTTTATTTCTGATTATGTTACAAAAGTCCTCTTAGTTGATCTAAGTTTCTTATTTCCTTCTTGCTTGTCTCCCATTTTTTCTTTCTGGGAAATTTCCCAAAACTTATCTTTCAACTCCTCTGATGAATTTTTTTTTTTTCGAGACAGGGTTTCTCTGTGGTTTTTGGAGCCTGTCCTGGAACTAGCTCTTGTAGACCAGGCTGGTCTCGAACTCACAGAGATCCGCCTGCCTCTGCCTCCCGAGTGCTGGGATTAAAGGCGTGCGCCACCACCGCCCGGCATGAATTTTTTTTGTCTTCAATGTTCCACTTAACTTTTATGATCTTGTTTCCAGTCACCAGATATCATATTTTGACCTCATGTATGCCATCAGTGCCCTACGTTAGTCTCTCAGAAGTTTCAGTATGTGTGCTGGAAGTGGGTTTTCTTCTCTCTGTGCTCTGTCTCTGTGCCTTGTTTCTCTGGGTGCCCCCCTTTTTTACTTTGTCTTTGCTCCCATTTGTCATGTTAAATGATTCCTTCACATCTCTGGTGGCTGATAATCTGTTCAAATGAGCTTAATGATATGTGGATTCATTCCTCTAAGGATGATCTGTCAGAACCATGAGTTGTAGGGCTTTCAACACAGGCATCTTCTCTTGTCCTGATGCACTTCCCTAGAGGGGATACTTTCCATATCCCATCTGAAAGTATTTGCCAAGTCTGTATTTCTGTGGTATTCTGAAAGCCAAGAAGAGGGAAAGGAACAGAGAGGTTTACAATGTTCTCTGATATTACATGACCATTTCTTCCCTGACTTCAATTATGCTTTGTGTCTCCAAGTTCAAAACTTACCTGACTTAAAATTCCTAGCAGCCTCCTTATTGCTTTTATCTAAATTTATATTGAACAATTCTACCAATAACTCCTCAGTAATCAGAGGCTGGGGTGAAAACGTGCTAGCTCAAAGAGGTTGAGGAGTAGGTAGTTGGCCTTCCTTCTTAACCAGCTTCTCTGGAGTTTTTTCCATCCTTCCAATCCAAAAGGAACAATCAAACTCTCCTTCCCTTTCTTCCTGTACATTTCTCTGTCTTCCTGACTCCCTCTTTACCCTCTATGACTACTTCCTGTCAACTAGCTGCTGCCTCTGCCTCCTGACCTCAGCCTTTTATTTAATTAACACATTCTCAGTGTACACAGTGTGATCAAATATCCTGTAATAGTTCCTCCTTTTTGGCTCAATAAAATATGATGGTTTTAACCTTAACACAGTGAAACTATATATAATAAGAACAATTATCAGATGAGAATTACATTTACAATATTGAGTCCATTTGTATTTGCTAAATTTGGTAACAAGAAAAACTGTAAAACTCTAACTACTTAGTCTTCACCCAATCAGAGACCTGAAAATGAGTAAACAGAAAGGGCAGAACAATCAACTTCAAAAACCACAGAAACAACAGAGACATCTGGCTGCCTGGACAATCACTAAGGTGCCTCTGCAACACTGGAGAATCAATCCTGGGCCTATAGGCCCAGAATATCTGACAAACCTTTCTGTGTATCAGGGATTTTGAAGGACTGGCCTACCTTATCTTGGCAGTTGACATGCTTTGTGACCTTCTTATCCAATTTGGACAGGGTACTGTCAGCAGTCGAAACAAGGGCAGTTTCTTGCCCAGTGGATAGCTTTGCCACATTTGAAGCAAGCTCCATATGAAGGTTCTTTGATGCCCATCATTTTTTTAAAAAATAGATTGTTGCTTCCAGGGGCAGATATGTCCCACTCTCATAAAAAGTCAGGGAGGGAAGCAGAGAAAAATGTAGAGCTCAATAAAAAAATTTAAAACGTCTTATGTTATTAAAACATTTTAAATGCCATATTCTTCAGATCTCAGGAACTGTTCGAAGACCACCTATCTAAAATACATGAGGCTAAATAAAGCTTATTTCTGTCTACATCTAAACATTTAGTACAAGTTTGTTATTTTAGTTATCCTAAACAGTTTGTATTACAAACTTTATATTACAATTTTAAATGAGTTGCATAGGTACAATATCTTACAGTATGTTGTAAAATAACCTTAAATTTGTATCAATATACAAAACCCCATACCAACGCAAAATGCTTGAAACAAGTAGTTGCATTTCAGTTTAAATGTAGATTCAATAATCAATCCTTTTATCCTATCATTTGGTTTTCCGAGAGAGTTTGAGTACAGAGGTGATTAAGTGAGTTATAGAAGGGAAAGGGAAGGGGGAGCAACACACACACACACACACACACACACACACACACAGAGAGAGAGAGACAGAGACAGAGACAGAGAGACACAGAGAGAGACACAGAGAGAGACACAGAGAGAGACAGGAGAGAGAGACAGGAGAGAGAGAGACAGAGAGAGACAGGAGAGAGAGAGAGAGAGAGAGAGAGAGAGAGAGAGAGAGAGAGAGGATTGGGGAGAGGCAGCAGCCATCTCTTCTGAAGAGGGACAGGTAGTAACCTATCATTTCCATATCACCATTTGCACCTTTTTTAAAGATAAAAGAGAAAGAAGGATAGAGGAATTGAAAAGAAAGACAAAAAGAGAAAAAACAGAAAGAAAAAACTCCCTTAATCTAGCCTCCTTTGTTTAGTTACCTCCTTGATCGTGACCAATAACAACTTGCAAACAACCCCCTAAACAATGACAAACATCCATAACCCACCAAATGATCAAAAGTCACCCATCCCACCTCTCATGAATGTGGGCATAGTGTTCTTTTTTCAATATTAAAAGTGTCATCTTTAATATCTGATTAGCGAGCAATAAGCTTGAACTCGGTGTTGGACTGAGCATTTAACATTGTTATTATCCCCACTTGATAGATATGGAATCTGTGATGCAGAAGGTCAGGTAGCTGGCAAGGGTCCTGTAGAGACGCAAAGATGGTTGGGTCTTCTGAGTGCACAGCCTCAAGAGTGGGCTAGGACAGGCCAACTGACCTTTTCCAGGGAGTTGGCTGCCAAGGGCTTGCCTTGCTCTTCCCTGGTTCAGTGACAATTGGGAGACATGGTTCTAGTGTGGACACTCCCAATTTGGGATGTGAATCTATACAAGTCACTTCCTTAGTCAAGTCTTGGTGACTTCACTCCTTAAACAGGAAGCTGAACAAGACTGTGAGTCCAGCATTCCACCCTCTTTACTGTCCTAGGCTTTTCCCTACCTTGGGATGTCTCTGGGATGAGACACGCCCTCACTTTCTGCCATCTTCTGCCAGTCTGTCATAATCACTGATCTTTTTTATTGTTTTTAATTGAGCTATATAGTTTTCTATGCTCCCCATCCTTCCTCTCCCCTCTGCTTCAACCCTCTCCCATGGTCCCCATGCTTCCAATTTACTCAGGAAATCCTGTATTTTTCTACTTCCCTTGTAGATTAGATTCATGTATGTCTCTCTTAGGGTCCTCTTTGTTGTCTAGGTTCTCTGGGATTGTGAATTGTAGGCTGGGTTTTCTTTACTTTATGTCTAAAAGCCAGTTATGAGGGAGTACATATGATAATTGTCTTTCTGGGTCTGGGTTACCTTTCTCAGTATGATGTTTTCTAGATCCTTTCATTTGCCCACAAATTTCAAGATGTCATTACTTTTTTCTGTTGTATAGTACTCCATTGTGTAAGTGTACCACATTTTCCTTATCCATTCTTCAGTCAAGGCGCATTTAGGTTGTTTCCAGGTTCTGGCTATGACAAACAATGGTGCTATGAAAACAGTTGAGCACCTTTGGGTATACACCCAAAAGTGGTATTGCTGGGTCTTAAGGTATGTTGTTTCCTAATTTTCTGAGAAATCACCATACTGATATCCAAAGGAGCTGTACTGGTTTGCACTCCCAACTACAATGGAGGAGTGTTCCCTTTACCCCACATTCTCTCCAGCATAAGTTGTCATCAGTGTTTTTAATCTTGGCCATTCTTACAGGTGTAAAATTGAATCTCAGAGTTGTTTTGATTTGTATTTCTCTAATGACTAAGGATGTTGAGCATTTCCTTAAGTGTCTTTCAGCCATTTTAGATTCTTTACTTGAAAATTTTCTGTTTATGTCTGTGCCCCATTTTTATTAGATTATTTGTTCTTTTGATGACCAATTTCTTGAGTTCTTTATATATTTTGGAGATCAGCCTCTGTCTGATGTGGGGTTGGTGAAGGTCTTTTCCCATTCTGTAGGCTGCCATTTTACCTTGCTGACCATATCCTTTGCTTTACAGAGGATTCTTGGTTTCAGGAGGCCCCATTTATTGTTTCTTTCTGTGTCTAGCTACTATTTAGGAAGTGGTCTCCTGTTCCAATGCATTCAAGTGTACTTTCCACTTTATCTTCTATGAGGTCCAGTGTGGTTGTTCAAGTCTTGCTGTTGTAGAGCCACCAGGTTTTTTTGGTGTCATGTTGCTCTTTGTGGTGTTGAGTGTGTTCTTACCTTGTCTATTCATCTTCTCCTCTGATTGATGTAGTTGGGGCCATGTCTCTGGTGATCAATCTTCTAGGTGCCAGTGAATCCAAGGCTCAGATGGTTGCTCCTTGTGGTGCAGACAGGGCCATGTTTCCAGTCACCCCAGAGGTTACTTGGTGTTACTGAAGGTAGCTTAGCACTCCCAGGGGTCACTCTGCAATCCCTGAGGATCTTTTTGGGCCTACTACCACAGAGGTTGCTTGCTTGTGCCTGCTTTTCCGGATGCCACTGATTCACGCCCATCCCACCAAAGTCTCTGTCTGAAGCCTGCTCCCTTAGTG